TAGACGCTAGATGCACAAACATCTGTCTTGGGGGAATTCCAGCCCAGAATGTTCCTTAGAACCAAGGATGATGAGGCTTAACGTCTCATGTACTCTGGACATGTGATGAGGAGGGAGCCGGTCCCTGGGAAAGGACGTCGTGCTTGCTAAAGCTGAGGGTCAGTGAAAAAGAGGAAGCCCCTCCTCGAGATGGTTCGATGCAGTGCCTGCCACAGAGGACTCAGACAGCATTTGTGAGGCTGGCGCAGGACCGTGCAGTGTTTCCCTCGTGGCACCCAGGGTCGCTGTGAATCACTAGCACCTGATCCACTGCAGCAACAACAGCTGACGGAAAGATCAGCAGTTCTCACTTACCTTGGAAGCTAGGCCCGAAAGCACTAAGATCACAGCTGTAGATCAGTTCCATTGTGCCACACACGGGGCCACCATGAATCAACGGATTAGTCAGCACCGAACAACGATGAAGGAGAGGCATAAAGGGTGCCAGTACCCATTAAAATACCACCCACGGTGGCCTTCCTCCCTGTGAAGACCCAGGAAAGAAAGGCAGTTGGTTCCCTGGTGCCATGTTACCTGTCATTGGGCTAAATCTACCCAGCAACCCTTTGGGGTCCCTCCATGCACTTGATAGAGACTAACTGCCCAGGTGTATCAAAGGGGGAAAGATCAGGATGTTCTACATACCCTAGAAAGTACAATAAAAAACGCCAAGGCCTTCTGACACCAGGTGTTGCAATTTAATACTCAAAAGCAGTCTCTGGATACAATCTGGTAGAAGAAATGAACTATTAAACTAAGCCAATGCAGAGCGCTCACCCTACTTGCCTACATCAGTCAGTCCTAAGAGGCATTCGTTTCTGTTCTAGCTGAGATTTATTATTGAAGTGGGCGGCCAGCTTGTGTGTATGTTTGCTGTGTCCCTAGCACAACATATGACGCAGTCAAGTGATTGGGGATGTGAAAGGGAAAAGACTGCCGGGAGATGGCTACTTTGGCAGACCCCACTGTCCCTTACTCCAATTAGAGAGTCTTTGCATGGCCTTTTCCCTTGGGAAGTAGGGGTGGCAGAGGTTACCCTGCAGCCCTGGCTTGTAGTGTGCTGTGCTTTGAACCGGCTGTCCTGTGAACACCTGCTTGAGATGTGAGAAGAGCGGTGATGAAGAAGGTAAACCATAAAGATGCTCCTGAGGGGGCTATGAGAGCTGTGGGACAGCTCCGGGCACCAACTGCCTGTGGGCTAGGGTAGTGGAAGAGTCGGGAGTTCAAACCAGGTGTTGAGGATGTTTGGGCTTGAGACCTAGTAGAAGTAGCCTCCTTCCTCCTGAGTACTGCAAGACACTGCCTTGTATCAATGGACTGACTAGTGGCCCAGAAGGTTAGAATCTAGGGCTGCTACCATTTGCAGTATATAAAAGAACTCCTTTCTTGTCTATTAGTGAAAAAAGTCCTTGAGAAAGGAGATCCAGTTCTATCTGTGTAGGAACCCTGGTAGTATAGTGGTTTATGGGTTGGGCTGCTAACCACAAGGTCAGCAGTTCAAAACCAGCAGCCAGCTCCTCGGGAGAAAGACAGGCTTTCTATTCCCTTTAAAGAATTACAGTCTCAGACACTCATAGGGACGGTTCTACCCTGTCCTATAGGGTTGCTGTGAGTCAGCATTGACTCGATGGCAGTGACGGATATGGAAACCAACCAAACCCACTAGCATGGAGTCCATCCTGCCTGATAGTAACTGTACAGGACAGAGCAGAACTGCTCCACAGAGCGTCCGAGGCTGCCAATCGCCCTGGAAGCAGACCGCCGTATCTTTCTTCCTCAGAGTGGCTAGTGAGCTCAAACAGCTGGTTTTTTGGCTCGCAGCCTGGTGTGTAACCTGTGCATCTGGTGTGTATAGTATTTTTAAACAGAAAATTAGATCTTATTGCCACTCTGACAGCACTGTTCACAAACAGCTCTACATCTGAATGTATCAAGGATGCTATAACACGTCTATCCAAAGAGCATCCTCTGGGAATGTGTTGCACATGACAGGGTATCAGTTGAACACAATAGTATAGTCAACGCTTTTCCTGCACTCCTGCAGGCTTTTAGGTGTTTCCAAAGAACAGGTGTCAAAATGTTCTGTTTCTGATTTCTGTTGTTCTGAGGGAAGAATGAATCTCACACCTAAGCGCTTAGATTTTTTACAATTTATCTTAGGAGCTGTCTAAAACTCAACTCTACTGCCAATGGGTCATTGCTGGCTCATACTGAGCCCCTGTGGGTTTCCGAAGCTGTAACTATTGATGGGGGCAGAAAGCCCAGTCTTTCTCCCTTGGAGCTGCTGGTGGTTTCGAACTGCCAACCATGTGAATTGCAGCCCAATGCCTAACAACTGCACCACCAGGGCTCCTCCACAAGCTATTCAGACCCTGGAAAGTTCATCATTTGTCTTTATTATCATCCCCCACAGAAACAAAAGATAGATAATTAACATGGCCAGGGAATTATCCAGTGTAAAGATGCAAGGACCAAACATAAAACCTCTAACTCTTGTTATTCCAGTTGAACTGGGCCCAATGTGGATCACTGAAACCAGCCATTCTCCTGCGGGGCTTTCAGGCTGGGCAGGAAGGCGACGTGCTTCCCTTGGCATTCCTTCTCAGGCACATGGCGCCTCCTATCAGCCCCTCTGGGATGACTTGCCTGGAGGGTGTCCATCCACTGACTCTCGTCTGCATCCACTCCTGTATTTCTCAGTAACTAACCAAGGAAGGATGCTTTTTTTGTGGGTAACATATGGGATGGTGATTTGGAGCTGTTATTAAAATCATTACCTGCTGAATCTTGTCGTTCCCAGTTTATACAATCAAGTAAAATAACTAGAGGGCAGTAGAGAAGAAGGCCTGAGGTGTGAGTTGAAAGATGCACCCTTCATTGAGAGAACACGATTGGAAAATATCCCCCTTCTATTGGTAAGAGAAGCAGCAGCTTGATTTATTTTAACTGAAACAGTTAGGTCATAGTCTGTCGGGCCCGGTGGCACTCTCACCAACCAGCCTTTCTATTTCTGATCCCCTCCTGAATTCTGATGTCGGAAATACAAGGTAGCCTGCCTGCCTGTATTTACTGTTGAACTAGGAAAAAATCACTGTGTCCTGTCTAGTTAACTATCTGCAAATGGTTCACATTTCCACTAGTTAAATTTTGCTCCCCAGTTTAGTTAGAAACTGGCTCCCTCTACTGGCTACAATTCACTTGACATTTCATGAGTACACTCAATTTTCCTCTGAAAGGTTGTTACAACTTTGCTCTAGTTCCTAAATGCTTCCCCCCCACTATCATGATCCCAATTCTACCTGACAAGTCTGGCTAGACCAGAGGATGTACACTGGTACAGATAGGA